ATTTCCATGAAACTAGTGGTCCTCCATTAACTTTGACATACAGTATAGGAAAGGTTATGTTTCAGGGCTGGACTGCAAATCTTGTGGTGATTTTAAATTTCCATCATCTATTAGGTCCTAAGAATGCAGTCACATAACTGTGTGACTCATTACTCTGATTCATACCATTGGCCGTGAATCTTTTGTGGTTGTAGTTGTGGTGGAGTGTTGTCCGTTAAATCCGATATTTGTAAAAAAAAAAGACACAATAATCAAAGATGAATTTACATAAAAAAGCATTTTAAAAAATCCATTGATAAATCCTTATCATGAACTATTTTGTCAGCATTAGTTAATGCAGTCCAACAACATTCTTCATAACAATGTGTTGCTCTTATGTGACCACATTATCAGCATTTTGTGCACGAGTGAATGGTCCTGACTTTGCTCACTACAGATACAAGCATTCCTGACAATCTTATTAGTGAAATGTCGTGACACTGACAGACTGTTAAAGGTTCAGTGTGTAGAATTTAGTGACATCTAGTGGTGAAGTTCCACGTTGCAGCTGAATACCCCTCACTTCACCACCCACTTCATGTTTGACCACTCTGGACTACTGTTAAAAAACATAGCGTCCTCTGTAGAGAGGAGCTGCTCCCAATGATAATATAAAGTATTTAAATATAAATATAAAAACATCACTAGGATTATTTTACATTCAATTTTTGCCAATAGATCTCTTTCACCTTAATGTTACAGGGTGAACCTTTAAGTAGGCTCACTGCATTTATTATCAGTTCAATCAATGGGCAGGGGAGAGGTTGAAGCTCTTTTTTAACTGCAGCTCATCCTATTTGTTGACATAATACTAAACTACTCTATAAGCATTTTCCCTGAAATATACTGGGGCTTCAGTCAGCAATGTGTTTGACAAGGCATGTCCAGTCTGCATGTTGCATAGAAAACTCCTTGCTTGAGGCCTCCTCTAACTGACTCAAAACTTGAACAATGAGCTGATTTCGACTGTTGGCAAAACACAAATTAAACATTTTAAAGCAGAATATTAAGCTAAAACATTTAGTTGAGATATTCCAGTAACGCTGAACCCCTGACTTGCCTCTGAAAAACGTCTTTTTGATGATGCCAGGCTTTCATGACAGTTACAAAACCTATCTTGACTTGACTGTTAGATGTTGTTTTTTTTGGTGCTTTGAGTGACATGTAATTATTTGAAGTTCTTGTTATTCCACCTTTCCATTGGTGCTGGCTCTACAAAGGTTGCCTGGCAATGCAGATCCTTGCAACAGTCAAACAGAGACAGATAACATACTAAACCACTGCAACTAATCTTAACCAAAACCCTTGGATTTTTAGTGGGCTGACCACCAGCTGAGACGTCACTGTATACTTAATGATAATCTCTCTGATAACAGGGACTTCATTATTCCCAATACAGCTTTGAAAAGGCTCTCACAGCCTGAGAACAAGCTTTACCAATGTAGGATCTCCTCGGACCAGCTCACCACAATAGCCACAGCCTTGTTCCTCTAACTTTAAGCCCTGGGGACAATTTCACACCAGAATAAAAAAGGATGGAACTGTCATTCACATTCAAGCTAAAACAAACAAAGAGCTCATTCATCACAATCCAAGGTCACAGGAAGACACAGGCTTACCTTTCCACTGTCAGTGCTACAGGTAGAGCAGGTAAGGGCAGTTGTTCCCACTCCGGCTGACTGCTGGGTTTGATAGGAGAAGTTAATGTGACTGGGAAAACCCTCTATTACCCCACAATGACAAGCTAGCCAGTCCCACTTTCTTTGTTTGACATTCTTCATGGTCACACCCATTTCAGCCATAATCACCTGGGAAGGTTTTTTTCCCTCCCCTCCAGGAAGTACAGGTAGGCTGGTGAATTGTCACAACACAAGTACTTTTTTTTTCTCTCTGCCCTCAGGAGATCAAATAGCCTTGTTTGTACTGCGTTCCCGATAAAGTACAAAAGACAGCTCTCCCACAAAACAAACTGTGCACTGACGAGAGAGAGCACACTTGCATTACGCTGACTTGACAAATGATATTATTATTGTTATATATAGCTGAAAAATTATGATAGTATACATTCTAAATTATACATCAGTGTTGGTGAAAGTGCTCATATTTAAATTCTTGCTTTTGGTTTGAAAGAGGAAAGAAAAGGTTGTTAAAGTCCCATATCACCATACTTCTGTGTAACAGATTTTTCACTTAAATCTAGGCAGTTGTCATTTGTGAGAAAACACTCAAACAAAAGAAAAAAACAGACAGCACAGATCTTTAAAGGAGTTAACCTACACACCATCTCTTGTCACTTGGATATTACTCTGAAACTGACAATTTGTCATCCTACTTCCTTAACTAACATTTCAAACTCCTCAAAATGTCTCTCGCACTTTCGCTTCAACTGAGACATAGCTTCAACTCAGAATCTCACTCAACGTACTTCAGCCCTTAAACTGAACCGTTAATGGCAGTGTTTAAATTTTAACTTTGACCTCATCCTGCATATATTTCTAAAGCTCCAACAGTGAACTTCAGTGTCTCTGTGGCAAACACACAGCACATTCTAACACTTTGTGATCATAATTTGTGATTCACATTCATTTCTATCAGGCTGACACCACCACTCTGATATTAAATTCTCTCATAAGCTAATATTATCTTAAAACAGAGCATATCGAACAGCTTCAGAGTTTTTTTTATACCCATTT